CAATGACACACAAAATCAAAAACCAAAACCAAAAAGAAAAAAGAAAAGCCTAAATAGTTCAAGGTCTGTTTGTTGACCTTTAGGAGTGTTTTCCGGTTGGGTCTGATGGGTCCCATGCCCTCGCCCCCAATTCTATTTTTGGTACTCCCTCAGCACTTCCTTGTTCTGTTCCCCTTGCTGTTCTGTTGCACGCCCTTAGTGTTTTGCCTTGGTGTGGTGGGGTCAGCTCAGGCACAATTCCCACACAGTGTCTCCAGTGTTGTCCACTGTAGGGCTATGGGGAATGTCCCCTCTCATAGTGGGGCCGGCCATATGGTCCTCTCTGTGCACTGGCTGCTCTGAGCGGGGCTATTGTCCTCAGGGCTTGGTGGGCCAGGGTGTGCTCCACTCCCTTCCTCTCCCTTCATTTACTTCCACTTCAGTCTGGCCTTGGTAGGTCAGTTCCTTTCCCCCACCAGAAGGTCTAGTGTTGTTCTCTGAGGCACACCCTTCCAGGTGGGGGTCAGGCTGGTTCCGGTTGGGGCCAGCCCTTTAGCCCAGTCTTTTCATGGATCCTCCACGTGTTACATTGCCCTCCTGATTTGGCACATCATGGTGGGGTCTGTAGGCGCATTCCAATTTAGTGGAGACACAACCAATACTCTCCCCCTAGGTAGGTTAGTGCCCTGTTCCCCCCATGTCTTCATCTCAGCTTCTCCCACCCCATTTTCCCTCCTCCTTCCCCCTTTCCCCTTCTTTATGTTGGACTCACATGTGCCTCCCTGGGTTTGGTCTGACCTCCCCCTGGCTACCTATGCTTCCACCTGTTTATTGCGAGATAAGTGTCTATTCGTCTATTCCTGCCATGCTGATTGTACTTACCTCAGGAGACTCATGTTATACCTGTCCTTTTGAGATTGGCTTACCTCGCTTAACATGATTCCTTCCAGCTCTTCCCATGAAACGATGTGTTTAGTGTGATCGCCCATGTTTTTCAGTGCTGCATAGTACTCCATTGTGTGTATGGGCCAGAGTTTACTAATTCACTCGTCTATCAATGGAAACTTAGGCTGTTTCTAAGTCTTTGCAATTGTGAATTGTGCCACAATAATTATTGGAGCACAGATGACTGACGTTGCTTTATTTGATTCCTCCTCTGGGTATATGCCCAGTAGAGGGATGACTGGCTCATAAGGTAGATCAATTTCCATTTTATTTAAGTTTCTCCAGATTGCTTTGCACAGTGGCTGTACAAATCTACATGACCACCAGCAGTGGAGGAGGGTTCCTACTTCACCACATCCCTCCAACACTTGTTGCTCTCTGATTTTTCAATTTGGGCTAGCCTCAGGGGTGTTAGGTGGTATCTCATGGTTGTTTAATTTGCATGTCTCTTATGGCTAATGAACGGGAACACTTTCTCATATGCTGATTGGCTATATGGGTCTCCTCCCTCGTGAAAGTTCTTTTCAGTTCTTTTGCCCACTTCCTTCGGGTGTTAACTGTTTTCCTCTTTTTGCAGGCCACGAAGGTGTTCTAGATTTTAGTAATGAGCCCTTTTCAGGACTGTTACTCTTTAAGGCAGTAGATAATCTCATCTGTCTCCCGAGGAGTAGCTGGTGGTTTTGAACTACTTACCTTGCAGTTAGCAGACTTCCAGGTATCCTGATCATGCCCCCAGAATGCTACCTGGCCTGCCCTGTTGGGCAGTCTCTTTCTCTCCCTGTGCATGTGTGTGACGAGCAGCACCCCAGCCTATGCCATCTGTCTACAACACCCTCTCACCTTCTGTTGCTCATTGCTCACCAAACACATGTATTTATAACAGGTATATGTAGAAAGATAGATGTAAATCATAATTGGTCATTGAATGTACCAGTTTTTTTATTCAATTAGGTTCAGTAATGTACTAAGCATCTGTGGACACAGCACCTAGGATCTTGACAGCTTTTATTTAAACATGTGAACCCCACCCCCACCCCATCCCCCTGCCTTCCTCTATCCCAAGATAACTGTCATCTTGAATCCCATATTCAAAGGCAGACTGCAATTTCTTTGGCACCAGTGAATTCTCTGTAATTAGGTGATTATACAGAGGTGCAGTGGTCACCTGGAAAGGATATTATAGAGATGGTTCAGAGAATTAAAAAAACACCTCATTCTCACTGCTATCAAGTCAATTCCAACTCATAGTGACCCTAATTGGGCAGAGTAGAACTGCCCCTGTCAGCTTTCCAGACTTTAAAAACGATGAATGAATAGCCTCACCTTTCTCCCAGGAGTGACTGGTATGTTTGAACCACGGACCTTGTGGTTCACAGCTCAGTGCATACATACCCACTGCACTGCCAGGGCTCATTTTCAAAGCATTAGATATATGGATAAACTAGAAAAAAGATGATCCATAAACTAACTGCATAAAATCTCACTGTGGTATTAAAAAAAAAATTCTTAGACTCAATATCCCTTCAGTAACATATATATATCATAAATTTCCCCTCTTTACCTTACTATTCCAGAAGTCCATACTTTATTTAACAAGAATCTCTAGTGATTTCAATGTATAAAACACTCAAACTCACTGTCTTATCAAGTAAATTTTTACTCATAAGGATCCTATAGGATAGAATAGAACTGCCCCCTTTGGGTTTCCAACACTTCAAATTTTGACAGGAGTAGATAAATAGCCTCATCTTTCTCCTGAGGAGAAGTTGGTGGGTTCTAACCACTGACCTTGTGTTAACAGATCAGGACATAACCCTAGTCTGTTAAGTGTAGCTGATGTATTTCTTCTCTTTCTCCCCAGAAACTCTTCATAGGAACCAAAGGCATTTGAAAAACCCATTCTAGTATACAATAAAAGTGATAACTTGAATCAATGAAGAGAAGATGAAAATTTTGATAGGTGGTGTTGGGATGCCCCAATAACCCCAAATACCCCAATACAGAGGAAAAGGTGGGGGGGTCTGTTCTACATACTATACACTGTTATTGTTGTTGTTAGGTACTGTCAAGTTCGTCTGACTCACAGTGACCCCATGCACAACAGAGGGAAACACTATCTGGTCCAGCACCATCCTCACAACTGTTATGTTTGAGCCCATTGTAGCCATTGCACCAATCCATCTCTTTGAAGGGTCTTACTCTTTTGAGCTGACCCTCTACTTTACCAAGGAGCCCTGGTAGTACTGTTGGGTAAGTGTTGGATGGCGAACCACAAGGTTGGGGTTTCAAACCCAACAGCTGAACCGTGGGGGAGAAAAGAAGCTATCACAAAGATCGACAGCCTTGTAGACCCTAGGTAAGCTTGCTCTGAGTTGGAATCAACTCTATGGCAGTGGTAATATGAACTGAAAGGAGGGAAGGGGAACAAAATTAATTCCTGGAAAAACATAGAAATAGGGGAAACTTTCCCATCTAAGAAACTAAAACTCAAAATCCAAATTAAATAAGAGGAAAGATGGACTATTTCAACTGAGTTTAACCACCTCAAAAAAGGTATAGCCAAAACCAAAACCAACACTTGAGCCAAGTATCAATTTGAGATAACTTTGTATTTTATCTTAAAGTGTATATTTAATTCTTTGTTCTCGCACCTGAAATGGGCCAGTAAGGATGAGCTCCTCTAGTGCCCAAGGGCTCGTTGGAGCAATGGTCAGTTACAAGTCCACAGCAGAAACCAGATAAAACAAGCGCGGTCTTGCTCGCAAACAAGAAATCCAATGAAAAGCAACGCGACCATTAATAAAAATAGTAACCACAATATTTTTTAAAGCATTTTTCTTTAAATATTTCATTGTGTTTTTAATAAAGTAGGTTCCCATTTAAGAATTTCTACACATATTGTTTCATGCCATTGGTCATATTTTCCACATTCCATCCCTGTTATTTACGTTCGTCCCCTTTCTGTTTCAGGGTGCTAAAGAGACCCCGTTGAGGTCAATCTCGATGGGACTTTTTCTGTAGACCCATGTCATTGGAGACGCCTCAGAGTCACCATGTGGTTTACTTTGCTCACAGCATGATTTGCTGGATCTGTGAGAGAGAACGACAAGGTACAATAGGATGCACTGCAAGGCAAGTCGTCTGAAGGATCTAACATGATTTTGACCCTGAGGTGTGGGTGGGCCTAGTCTGCAGAGGTGCACCTTTCCTAGGGGCTGCGCGCGCATGCGGGCTTTCAACTCGCTGTTGAGGATGTCTGGAATTCAGAGGAAAGCAAGACCCCAACAGATCCGAAGATGGCACTCAGTGAATAAATTGAAAAGACTCCAGGCCAGAGGAGTGTGACGTTGGTCCGCAATTAGCTGGCAGTTAAAGCGGCCTGACTAAAAGAATTACGACCGGCGGGTGAGGAGGCTTTGGCAGAGACTGTCACTGCTGTTCTTTTGATCGGAGGCCGTTGCCCTGGAGACCTGCGTTCGCTCCTAAAGACTATAGATCCGTTTCACCACGACAGCTGTGACGATTGTGACACATATCTGCCGTGAAGGGCAGCCAAGATATGGTGTGTGGCTGCACCAGCTCTTCCTTTGGTGGTACCATGGAGATGATGCGTCCAGAGGTCAGCTGGATTGCCAAGTGGCAGCAAGTCAGTCACTTCAAGCCAGCTGTGTATGCTGTGTCAGTCACTGGTCACCTGCCCCCAGGAATCATGAGGGAGCTAAGAGTCCAGGAGTGACCGGCTAATCCAGAGACACAGCTATAAAGATGTAGCAAGATGCAGGATTACCCACTTCCCGCCTCTGCTCTTTTTCCCTTGTGGGACACACAAGCAGAACTGCAATTCCTCTCAAACCCTTCAGCTCTGGGACTCGGCAAACGGACTGATGAAAGAGCAGCCCAGTGGATCCCTGGACATTTTACCGGCTTTGGACTACTGGCAGAAGGGGCAGAGGTGTGGGTTGATGATTAACAGACTGCATTGAGGAGGAGTAGGCCCAGGCTTCTGCTTTGTCCGTGGGTAGGACTTCAAGGGGCCAAATGCCAGGAAACGGGAGCCCCGAGGAAAGTTCTGAAGCCCATGATCCATGCCTCGTTTCCCTGTCTCTCTCTTGGTTGGACAGAGTGAATGTCACTCCTTGCCCAGGAAGCACCCTCCCAAATCAGAGGCCTTTGGCTACCTGTTGCCAAGTTTCTGACCCCTGAGCTTGGAGCTTTAGTGCACTTCCTGGGGTCTCACTGGAAGGGCGTTGTCCTGAGCTAGGTAACCACATCAGACGGATAGCCGTTTTATCGGGGTCACCTTATTGACCAAGGTGAATTACCTATTTTGGAATAAAACCCTCATGCTGAATTCTCATTAAAAAAAGAATGACAGTTCTGAGAGTAAGGGCTGCTGGACCATATTTCCTTTTGAGAATAGCAGTGGATGAGCACAGGTTAAAAGGGGCTACCTTGAAAATTAACCTTTTTTTAAAATTTTACTAGGGGCTCATACAACTGTTATTGCAATCCATACACACATCAATTGTGTAAAGCGCATTTGTACATCGTTCTCAAAACATTTTCTCTCCACTTAAACCCCTGGCATTAGGTCCTCATTTTTCCCCTCCATCCCTGCTTCCCCCGAAAATTAACTTTTACAAGACTGGAGGAACTAAAGTGACTGTGGTGGGCAGCAAGTAGAAGATATATAAAATTCCTTACATAAAAAGTATTAACAGTAAGACTTGTGAAATAAAAAGTTTTACAATGTTAAAGAGAGACACCCACCTCAAATATAATTGAATGAGCAGATACATTAAGTCTTAAAAGAGACAAAGATGTAGACCCATCATCCGGATGAGGGAGGCCATTAGCACGCGGTAAAACTAGCGTCTGAGGAGTCACAATTGGGGAGCTGGAGAAATCGGGCATGAGAGGGCAAGGAAACTGTCACAAAAGCATGACTGGTGGCAGAGCAACACATCACAAAGACAGGTGGGACGACAGAAGCAGGAAAGGGGCCAGGACTGGGACACACACATCGTTAAGTGGATGGGCTTTACAAGACTGGTCCAGGGCCTTCTGCACACGGCACTCAGGGCAAGACTGATAGAGCATGCGTCATGACTATGTGGCCCTCTGGACTGTCTGTCCCCAGTATGGGAAGCTCCATCAAGGACACAGCTAGGCAAGCCACTGCAAGAGAGACTACCCCTTCCTGGATTGGCCAGACAAGGGGGGTGGCAATCCATTCCCCACGGCATTCTGCCTGGGGGTAAGATTAGCTACATCTTTGTTCAATGGTCAGAAAGAATTCATTAGGTACTCTGCACATGCATTTTGGTCTGTCACTACCATCCATAGCCATTTGCAAACCAGAGTGCTCCGAATTTAAGCTCTAATACACTTCCTCAGTCGCCACCCTGGAGCTTCTCATTTTTCTTTAGGGCAAGTATTGATCTTGTGGTTTCGTTTGGATGTCTTCTTTTTTTAAGCTCGTAGTATTCATATGATCGTCTTTCTTTTATGAACCAATTTGTTATTTAGCTGAAAAATGACCTCTAGAAGTGGTTTCAGTTCAAAGTTTGAAGGGAATCTTGGGACATAGTCTCAATGATTCCTCTAGTCCAGCGGTTCTCAACCTGTGGGTTGCGACCCCTTTGGGGGGGGGTCATACAACCTTTTCACAGGTATCACACGATTCATAATAGTAGCAAAATTACAGTGATGAAGTAGCAACAAGAATAATTCATGGTTGGGGGGTCACCACAACATGAGGAGCTGTATTAAAGGGTCCCAGCATTAGGAAGGTTGAGAACCACACTGCTCTATCTCTACCAGTCTGGTAGGTCTAGGCTGTTTTTGAAATTTTAGTTATGTTCTACAGTTTTCTCCCAGTCTACCCAGGACCATCTATGATGTCCATGGTCAGACAGGTTGCTAATGATAGCCTGACACCATCTAGCTCTGATCTCAAAATGAAGGAAGCCATGGTTCCCATAGGCAAGTCATTCTGTAGACTAGTTTTTGCTCTGTGTCTTTGATTACCTTCTTTCTCTTTCACTCCAGATTAGTAGAAGGCATATACCTCCAGAAACACCTACGTGTATACTCACACACGTATACCTTCTATGCACACATATCTACCTAGGTTATTAGAATAGGGACAAAAGGGGCTGTCTCCCCAATGCCTGCATGGGGAGACAATACAGGGGTTGGAAAAAGATTGAGCACACTAATTTGACACTTATAGGAAAGATCCAAACTGAGTATGCTCAGACACAAGGCCCCTGACCCCAGGTGGAAGGTCCACCTGGGCGCACAGAGTAGGCCCAGCCACATGACATCACATAGGTGGGCCCAGACTCAGCCAGTAGGATAGGCCGGCCAATGCCCTCAACCACGGCTTCCCCAACCAGAAGGGTGGGAGAGAATAAGAGCCAGGTGCACAGCTGGGCACATTCTTATGGCCTGCCACCAAGCTCTTTAACTCTGCTCTTGTTTGGGTACATGCTGCAAACCGAGGGTGAGATTCCTCCCTCGTGCAGGCACACACGTGCCTATATGCCCACTTGGGTCCCACTTGCTCTCTTGGCTCTCTTGGGATTTCTGGCTTTGCATTCGGAGTGCTGGTTCCATATTCCTTCCACATGTTTTCTTCAGTCACGAACTCTTGCACGGTGCCCATGTAGCCTTGCACGCTTTCCAGAGATAGCATGCACTTTTGAGACTGTAATGCCTGAAACTTCCCTTTCCCTCATAAAAGTTACTTGGATTTACAAAAGTGCTTCAGCACTGCGAAGCAAGAACCAAGGTAAACCACTGCAGAAACCTAACAAGCTAACTGTTAGATCTCTCTAGTGGGAGAGATACCTCGGTCCTTGGCTTCGTGCAAGAAAGAATTCACGCTGAAGTCTGGTTTGTGATCCAAGTGAGTTTCTAGAGGATAGAAGTGGCACAAATGCACGGGCCAGTGGCCAGGACGCTCTGCACTGTGTCCGAGCCACTGGGAGAAAGAGCTGCCAGAGCAAACACTGCCTTTCAGGGCCCCCGTTGGGAGGCGTGTTCGACAGTACTGGTTAACCCCATTGGCTGAATTAAATTCATCTGGCCCACATGGGCCAACCCAGGTATAATGCCCACCTAGGTGTACAACTCCTTCCTGGCTGGAAGTTGAACCTCTGAGCATGCATAATAGACACCCCAGTCCCTATGCTAGCCACCTAACATAACCACTCATGTATTGTTTTAATTGTTTATATTGGGTTTTTGTTGTTGTTACAATTGTTGTTTCAGAATTGTATATGCTATGTCATTTACCAAAAATGCTCTAATTCAAATCTATGTAAAGGGGTGTGGATATAGTGGAGACCCAAAACCTACCTATAAGATAATTGGACAGTCCCTCTCAGAAGGGAAACATGGAAGGGGCGATAAATCCAGGGAGTAGTGTAGAGCTGACGAAACATACCTATCATCTAGTCCTTAAATATTTCCTCCCTTTACTATTATGGTTCTTTTTTTCACCTCATTAACCTTGTTAGACCTGGGTATGTTATTTGCATAATTAAGATTGTTCGATACAGGAAAACCAAGATAGATAACCCTTCTGAAACAGTAACAGGAGTAACGGTTCCCTGAAGGTCCAGGAAGAGAAGGGGGGTGGAACTGACAGCATTGATGATCGTATAACCCCACTAGAAGGAAGCAAACAACAGAATTGTATGTGGATGCCTATGATGGATAGTGTAAGATACAGCAATAAATAAATAAAGGTTTTTAGGGGATAAGGTGGAGGAGAGAGTGGATAAAGGGGAGCTGATATCAAGGAGTTCAAGAAGAAAGAAAATGTTTTGAAACTGATTGTGGTAGCAATTGTATAATAATGCTTTATGTGGTTGAACTGTGGAATGTTAAGATAGCTGTAAGAGCTCCCAATGAGATGATTAAAAAAATAAAATAAATATCCCTAATTCTTTGTACTTCTTAGTGTCATCGTTCATGTTGGTCAAGTTGTGCAAACTTTGCCTATGTTTGGTATTGCTTTTTCCATCATCAAAATAACAAGTGTTTCAAGGGAGAAAAAAACGTTAACTGTAATAACTCAGTAAGTTCATTAATTTTATGTAAAGTGTTTTTAACAGTATCTAACACAAAGTAAGTATTTGATCAAGTTAGGGGCTGGCAGGTGGGCTGGGCAAGAGGAAGAATCCAACGAAGGGGAGACAGAAATGCATCTGATCTAAGGTGACCAGACGTCCCGCTTTTGGTGGGACAGACCCAATTTTTAACAATTTTTCCTGCGTCCTGCGGTGTTTTAAAACAGTCCCGATTTTTGAAAAGAATGTACCACAAGCTAGGGTACACGGTTTTCGATTGCCATGTGGCTATTTCGCCAGGATATGAGTTTTATCAATGGTGTCCCGCTTTACCAATGTTAAAATCTGGTCATTCTAATCAGACATGGAATTCTAGGCACCCTTCTTTCTCCAAAAACCATCATAAGATCAGCAATAAATATACACCAGCGAGTATTTGTTTATTGTGTAAAAAGGGGAATTACATTTAGAAAATGATCAACTCTGCCAGCCATATGAAACCAGTCAAACTATCTAATAAATAAAACATTTCCCCTAAAATAATATATGGTGTACCCAATTCAATGTAGAAAAGGAGACACGCCTTTTTGACAGGAAATCTTTTCTTACTCAAGATAACAGGAAGCAACACACCTTGAAACCAACTTCTGCTTCGATTACATTGGCCAATGAAATCCTCTGAACCTACTCTCGGAACTGCCATGGAAACTCTAGTGCCTCTCCTCTCTCACAGGCTTTGGCAAGGCATTTCCTGCTCAGAGGGTACTTCGAAACTGTAAGTATTCTGACATTATTTACTTCTCTAAAAGCTTATCTTAGAGCAAAAATGAGTTTTCTTTAAAAGTATTTGATTCCCTTGATTTTTTTTTCTCCTAAGATGACATAGAACATTTTTGGATCTGCTTGGTTTTAAAGTAAATATGTGAATGTAGTGAAACTCAATTGTCCTGTGCCAATGATGTGCTTGCTACCTGCTATGACTGGTAGATGCTGTTGTTCAAAATGCGTATGATCTCAGCCTGACTCCACATCCAAGAGTGCTTTGAGCAGGAAATACATCTCATATGTGGTAGCTACTAACTTGATGAGGAATTTTGCTCTTTATTTTGATGTATATGCATATTTAAATATGCCCGTCCTAGTTTCTTTGTGCTTTGAAAATATTTTGCCTTATTCTCTGTGTCCAAGATAATTTAGAAACAGAAAGACAGATTTTAGCTAGAGAATTGGGAGAATTAGCTAGAGAATTTGGCTAGAGAATTGGGAGAACACTGGCATTTGCAGTATGAAAGTCAGAAAAACAGACTCGACTGCTTCAACATTGCTTTGGTGTGCTTCACCTAATATTGTATACAGCACGATGTTACCCGCATCTCACATTTGTTCATTTATGAGCTGAGAGATTCTAAAATGGGCATGCCTCAATTGAAGCAAATTAAAATGGAATTTGACAGCAATAAGCAATAGGGAAAAAAGAGAAAAGTCCGTTTCACATCCCATTATAACTTAATTCCTGGAAACAATCTCAATAAAATCAATTAGGGCTGTACTTCTCAAGACTGAGGTGTTCACAAGCAGGCAAAGTTAAAAACCAAACCCACTGCTATCGGGTCAATTCCAACTCAGAAGGTTTCCGAGGTTGGTAACTTTCACTGATTACAGACCTTGCTGTGAGCATTCCAACACACAAGCAGGAAAGCACAAACCAAACACCCAGCCACTGAGTCAGCGCTGACTCCTGGTGACCCTACAGGACAGGGTAGAACTGCCCTGTGAGTTTCCGAGACTCTCTCTGAGAAGTAAGTAGCAGCTGGGGGGTTCAAACTGCTGACGTTACTAGTAGCAGTCCAACGCATACCCACGGTGCCCCCAGGGCTCCTTGCCAGCAGGACGGACAGGTACAAAGTGGGCTGTAACTAAGAATAAGAAATGAAATGAAACATGTAAAATGTGAAGTGAATACATAACGATGTTCGGGCATGGCAAGCATACCTTGGAACGAGCTTTCTAAAGGAGATGATTTTAAGTATCGTCCTTTAAGGCATTTGTCCACCAGGATCCTTTGTTCAGTTTCCACTCGACCGTTTTTTTCCCTCTCATCTTCGGTGACTATTCCCATCACCCTTTCTGCTCCCTAGGAGGCCGGTGGTGCCATCGGCTATCTTTTGGCTATTAACCACAAGGTCAGCAATGTGAGCCCACCAGCCGATTCATGGGGAAGGGATGAGGCTTTCTGCTACCCTAAAGATGTACAGCATGGAACCCCACAGGGTCACTTAGAGTACAGCACTGAAGTTTTTTTCAGTTGCCGGTCCCTTTCTGAGGCTGCAAATCTTTATGGGGCCAGACATCATCATATTTCTCCCTGAAGCATCTGATGGGTTTGAACTCTAGTTATTAATAATGTATGAAAAAATTTAAAAGCCCAGGGCACTGGGCTTCAAACTGTGTTCTTCAAGGCGCAGGGGGGCAGTTATCAAGCAAGCAAGGCTGCAGGCCAGCCTATGGTCCTTGGACAATCTGGAGCCATTGGCAAGGGCTTCAAACTTCTGGAGAGAGGGACACCACTTCCCTCATGCCCATATTTACTATACCTATCTCTGCAGAAGGAGGATTGACATTCTTGTACTTTATAAGGCAAAACCCATGGCATAGAGGCAGTACTTCTGCAAGTTGCTCATTACAGATTCCTGGACCCCAGCCCATCCCATGTAAATCCCACTATCTGAGTGCCCAGGAATCTATATCATAAGAAAGTTCTCCACATCGTTTTTGTGGAGGGTAAACCCTGAGGCTTCTGATCAAGCTTTTTGAGGATAAGTTCTCAAAAAATGTCAAAATTTTACTCTGAATGAAAGGAGAGTTTAGGGAAGATCTCCTTCTGTCCAACTAGGCATCTGCACCCCATCTTCACCTGCTGTTGACCTCTGATGGATGATTATAGGAGCCCTGGTGGCACAGTAGTTATGCTTTGAGCTGCTAACCATAAGGGCAACAGTTCGAAACCACTAGCTGCTCCACAGATGAAAGATGTGGCTATCTACTCTCTTAGAGAATTACAGTCTATCCTATCCTAAAGGTTCCCTATGAGTCAGAATTTACTCAATTGTGATGAGTTTGGAAGAGGGCTGTTGGTAAAGACTTATTGACTGAAGCAAAGAGAATTGTGGTTGACACCTTTTGTTTGGTTCCTGTTTTTGTATCTCGTGGCCATTTTGTCAACCCTACTCTGCAATTTAGGGGGTCACCATAAGTGGAAATCTGTTCCATGAGCACAGGTTCAAGGACGTCTAGAATTTTGAAAATGATATTTAAACCATCAAGCTGCATAAGAATGTGTTTGATTTCTTCTTTCAATTTTTTTTAGTACCAAGGAGGCATTTTCTAGAATCACAAGACTTTTCAGAATAAAGCTAAAGAACTCAAATGGAAGCCCTGGACATTCATTCCATCTAACCACAAGGCAGGCGATGCAAACCCACTAGCCACTCCCCAAGGGAAAGATGAAGCTATATGCTCCCCATAAAGATGTACAGCCTTCGCAATTTGTTTTTGTTATTGTCATTACTAAAAAACCTTTGTAGCCATATGCCTGTCAACAATTTCCTTCCCAGTTTATCTCTGCGATTTTCAGGAATCAAGCGTAGCTGTAAACTGTAGCCTGATCTGACACTTACCTGGAAAAAACAAATCCAGTTAGGGGAATTTATTGCCAAATTAAATTTGGCTATTTTCACCTCTCCCCAGATAGATAGTAAGGAAGGTGTACTTTCAAAAAAAAAAAAAAAAAGGCTTCTTTTAAGATCCCAATAATGCCACTAATCCATAGAGTGGACTGATAATGACTAGGTATTCTCGGGAGACTTTAAAAGCTGATATTCAAAGTAGAGAGTAATATGTATCCTATCAATTCAAATATCCTCAGTGTGGCTCTGCTCCTCCTTGTTTAAAAGGCTAGTAACACTGGAATGGTTACAAAATTGGAGACTTTACCACTTACGGGAAGGAATGTCTCGAATATTTCTTATCAAATCTTACTTTGTATTTCTGTAAGAATGTGGCTGACATACTAGGCCCCTTACGGGACCAATGGTCCCAAAATTTGTTTCCTGATATTTCAAATCGGTGATAATATTCCCATAATGTTTAAAACAACTACATTAAGGTTGTGATAGAAACAGGGCTTTTTGTTTTGCTCTTTGAAGTACAGTTCATGCATACAAAATTACTTGAATTTCTTTGACATCACTAACCTGCCAGGGCAGTGCTCAGCGATTTCGCCAATCCACTACAATCTCATTCAGGAGGCTTGAAACATGAATGGTTGGTCTTGTGAATTTAAACAATTCCCTGTCAGCATTTAACAAAATCAACAACGGCCACCACTTCATGTGCTGTGGTTTCTGTCTCCACTAGTTCTTATTGCATGTTTATTTCAGACAGTCTTTTGTTAAAGTATGGTCTTAATAAAATATTCACCTGAGAAAAAGATTTGCAGCCTCAGGAAACCTGTAAAGGGTTCTTATAGGTCAGTGGAATTTTTTTAAGATATCATTCAGCTGGGCTGAGCTGAGCAGCTTTCCACTATTATAAACAGCATTCGCTTCAGAGGGACTTCTCATAGCATGAGTAGCCTCCTGGAGTCCCACACTCTGCTTCAAGCTGAAGCTCACAGGGTCCCACAATTTCCCCTCTTCAAGAGGTAGTGAAAAAGCAGAGCTAAGGATTCTTTATGCCACTATACACTGAGGAGTTTAACTTCCCTGCAAGCCAATTAACAGTCAGCACATGGCTATTTGGATGAAGTTATGCGTTACTGCTACTTTGAGGACTAGGGTTCACTTGGACAAAGCCAAGGTATTTTCAACCACTTCATATGCATGTGAAAACTGGCTACTGAACAAGGAAGATCAAAGAAGCACCGGTGCATCTGAATTGTGGTGCTGGCAAAGAAGATTAAAAGCACCACAGACTGCCAGAACACCAAACAAATCTGTCTTGGAAGAAGTAGAGCCAGAATGCTCCCTAGAAGTGAGAATGGCGAGACGTTATCTCATTTACTGTGGGCTTGTTCTCAGCAGAGACGAGGCCATGGAAAAGGACGGCATGCTTAGCAAAGTGGAGGGGCAGCGAGAAATAGCAAGGCCCTCGGCATGATGGACTGATACCATGACTCCGTCATGACTCTGTCAAGGGGCTTCAGCATAAGAACTACTGTGAGGATGGTGCAGGACCAGGCAGCGTGTCGTTGCGTTGTACAGAGAGGGTGGCTATGAGTCAGAACCACCTAGATGGGACCTGACGACAGCAACCAGTGCTGACAGAACAGACAGGGCATTGTGATTGGGCTCCAGAAACACTCCCAGAATGCTCAGGTCTGCAGCTTCCAGTTAGAGACCCCAAATATCAAATCTAATTTAAGTAAAACAGTTATTAAGTCTTAAGTGGGACCAAGACAAAGATATATCATCTGAATGATATATCAGGGGTTAAAAAAAATTTTAGCAACCAACAATTACAGAAAAATTAGCATCTTCATATATATATACTTAAAACCATTGGACTTGCTTTTTCTTTCCAAAATGGATATTTCTTGGTTTTGATCTTTTTTAAAAATGCTAATAGTGAAAATAAACATTTTTTCCACACCAGGACACAAAGATTAAAGTAAAAATAAACCAGTCCATTAGTTAGAAATAACCCCAATAACTATCCAATGTGCCATTGTATATCCTTTCAGTGTTTCCTGGTATCCAATGGTCAGATTTGTTTAAAAAATTATATTTGTTTACATTTGTCATTTAAAATAGAAGTTGCTTAGAAAATTTGTGTACATCTTTTTAACATTTCCTATCATACCTCAAGGAGCCCTGGTGTCTTAGTGACTACCCATTGGGCTGAGATCCCCGAGGTCAGCGATTGGAAGCACCAGCCGCTCAGAGAGAAAGACTTTCTACTCCTGTAAACAGTTGCAGTCTTGGAAACTCACAGGGGCAGTTCCACCCTCTCCTCTGGGGTCACTATGAGCCAGCATGAACTTGATGACAGTGAGTTTGAGTTTGAATGTTTTATAACCTCATCATTTCCTTGACCCTAAAAATGGGACTAACTGCAACACCCCAAAATCTGGTTTCTATCATTTCAGTACTGGAGTTTGAGATGTAGGAAAGCGCTGCTTCTGGGTACGTTCCAGTGGTTTCTGTGAACTTGGCACGAGGCAGTGTTGGCCTCATGGGGCCAGGGGCACTGCTTCAGCGTGATGGGGGAAGAGACTGAGGTGGCGGTGGGATTACTGAGCAGCCGACTGTGCGTCTGGCCCCGGCTAAGCCTTTGTAGGTAACGACTGGATGCGTCCTTGCTGAATTCAGCTGGAAGGAGCGCGGTGGCTACACTGCTATGTTGCTGTTAGCCGAGCTGCTCCCACCGGCCGTTCCACTGGAGAGCGATGTGGCCGTCTGTTTCCATAAGGATTCACGGCCCGGGAAACCCTGGGTTCCTATGGTTCCAAATCGCCTGGATGACAATGGGCTCATTGGTTAAGGAGCTGGGCGACAGTCGAGGCACAAGCGGGGCGCGGGTAGGGGGAGCGAGCGAGCGGCTCCCTGCGCTCACCTGGCTGCCTGGGCGGTGGCTGGGGCTCCGGGAGTCCCCCGCGCCTCTCCGGCTCCGGCCAAGCCTCCCCACTCCACCCCGACCCCCAGCCCCAGCCCACCGCGCCCCCAAGGCGTCCTATGCGCCGCGCACCAGCTGAGCGCACCGGCAGGGAGCTGGCGGTGCCTGATGAAACTCACTGCCAAGGAGTCGTTCCGACTCACCGCGGCCCAATCTAGGGTTTCCAAACTGAAAAACCAAACTCATCGAATCCAGTCGATTCGACCCTGACGGGCAGGGGAGAGCTGCCCCGTGGGTTTCCGAGACTGTCGCTCTTTTACCCACGTGGAAAGCCCCGTCTTGCTCCCGCGCAGCTGCTCGAGGTTTCACTGAGACTTGGCGGTTAGCAGCCCAAAGTTTAACGCACTGCGCCACCTGGAGACTGTCAATCTTAAAGCGGAACCCCGAAGTGAGCTGCCCAAAACCTAACCCACAGCGCCACCAGCATTCCGAACTCCCGGTCTGCAAGAGCATTGGGATGCGCTCAGCGCTTGGCAGCCCTGGAGAATTCAGAGGCCAGTAAGGTCGGGTCCCTGCGGAAAACGCGAGGGGTAAAAGAAGCAACTTGACTGAGGATGGAATGTGGGTGTCCAGATGAATAGACCTCCTGGGCCCAGCTGCCTTTTCCAGTCACCTTTCCGAGCCCAGAGCTGTCAGAGAAGCTAAAATCACCCTGCCGCCCCCCCCCCTAAAGCCAAGAATGAAAATCACTAGCACCCACTCCTTTTACCTTTGCCCCTTCAATTGATCATAGCCCAATAGTACCCATCTCTGCCCTGCCCCCTAAGCCAGGGTCTACCAGGAGCACTCAGGACTTCACACAGCCACTTAGCCAAGGGCTCCATGCTGACTCTCCACCCAGCTACTGACACCAAAACCCTGCAAACCAGAGGCTCCCACTTCTATACCCAGCCCCCAGACCAGGAACCTGACCTACTCTCTCTAGCCATCTGCTGGGTTTCAGGGGCACGCCCTCCTAGTGGGCTCCCATGGACTGACTACATCCCCTGGCTCACCTTCCACAATCCATAGGTCCCCAAATCTATTTGGTCTACTGCCTCCTTTTCAGAAAAAAAGAAATTACTCAGTGTCCCCCTGGAAATTAAAAGTTTCTGTACTATAACCCATAATCCAAGATAAGTGTATGCTTTTACTGCCCCCTGGATCTTTCTAGTGTCCTCCATTGCTCCACCCTATCACCCCACCAGCAACCAGAGACCTATGCCCACTTTGATCACCACTGGGAAGCCCTACCTGCTCAGGGCTGTCTGTAAGAGTTTCCATATCTCCCACTCACTAACCAAGAATCCAGGCATACCGTCCAGCAACTGCCAGTGCACACACACAATACTCAACCGAGCAACCAGTGAGGATGTTCCCTGCACCCACCCTCAGATGACCGGCCAGACACACATCATCTCACTAAGTATGCCAGCTACCGCCTCAGCTGCCCTGCAGACTAGCTAGCAGAGACCTGTGCTCCCAGGCCCAGTTGCTGCCCCTCTGGCCCAGAGACAGGTGCTAAGAGCTCCAGGGCAGCCATTTGAAATGCTGGCATGATATGGATGCGCCACCTGCTTGGATATATCAAAACAAAGCAAAACAAAAACTCAGAATGCAGTGAACAAATAAATAATATTTTAATGCCTTGGAGGCAAAGGCATATAAAAAATAACAACCCACTGCCATCAAGTTGTTATTAACTCATAGCAACCGTAGAGGGCTTCCACAGCTTTTTAAATCATTTTAAGAATAGGCAGCCTCATCTTTCCTCTGAGGAGCAGCTAGTGTGCTCGAACTGTAATGTGGCAGTTTGCAGTCCAATGCTTCCCAGACAGTGCTACTGGGGCTAGGTAATCATATCTTTAAAAGGCATGGCAAGATGGTGCCAGCAAGTGACCAAAATAAAGAATCAGAAAGCTTTCTGGAGGAAAGAGGTTGTCGTGGATTCAAAAAGACTAATGTGGAGGTCTCCGAGAGATCAAGAATAGCCCAGGTGGAAAAGAAAGAAAAACAAATCAGAAAAAAAAACAAGGGAAGCAAAGATAAAGTAATAAAATCATTCAGGAAACCAATGTAAGACCAAAACTAATTAGAAACCATACAGAAATAGTAACTGGAGATCCAAAAGATCAACACTGAAACTTCAGAAATAGGCTTTATTACATGACTTTAGGGATCCTGATGGTGTAGTGGGGTACACACTGAGGGGCGAACTGCAAGGTTGGTGGTTCAATCTCACCAGCCGTTCATTCTGCAGGAAAAAGACAAGTTTGATAACCAAACTCACTGCCATTGAGCCAATTCTTACTCACAGTGACCCTATAGAACAGGGTAGAACTGTCCCCGTGAGTTTTCAAGACTACAACTGTTTACAGACATATAAAGCCCTGTCTTTCTCCCAAAGAGTGGCCGGTGGTTTCAAACTATTGACCTTGCAGTTAGCAGCCCAACACGTAACCACTACAACACCAGGATTCCTTATAATTGTGATAGTGAGATATGTCAACTCAACACTCCTGGCCAGGGGAGGAGTCAAACCTGTCAATCAAATGGTAGCTTGATGACTTCTCCTTGGGGCTGTGGCCTTTTGTAGAAGATCAACAAGCATATGAGTTAGTAGATCAGAAACCATTTCCATCTGAGATTATTAGCAAATGAAAATCTAAAAGACTAGGCTAATCATTGACTAGCCAAAAATCACATGGTTTAGGAAACCAGAGTTTGAGCAAGATTTTCTCGCTGAAAATCTAATCTGTGTTCCATAATCCCATACCATCTCTCATGCTGGCGAGAAATCATGACTAACTTAACAAAAGTTACCTTATTGTAAACTTCTCTGGAATAGACAGTCCAGGTTTGCCACAACCTGAAGGCACAGACCAGCATAAAGGCAGGGAGACTGGGATGGGAGAGTGCTAACCCCAAACAAGTCCAAAACAAGAACTTGTTTGAGGGGTTCAAAGCTAATGAACTTTCAGAAGCTGTGTCCAGGTCTGTCTTCCAAGGTACTCTGCATGGGTTTTAACTGCCAGTCTTTTAGTTCACTACTGAATGCTTAGCCATTTGCACCACCAAAGGACTAGTGCAATTAAAAAAAAACCTATGCCATTGAATTGATTCCGTCTCACAAAAACCAATAGGACAGAGTAGAACTGACCCTGTGAGTTTCCAAGACTTTAAATCTTTACCACAGCAGACAGTCTCATCTTTTTCCCTAGGTGCAGCTGGTGGACTTGAACCGCTGATCTCGTGGTTTTAGCAGTTCAATTCATAGCCCACTACACCACCAGAGCTCCTTGGTGCAATTTTGAAGAGGCCTATTTTCTATAATTTCTTAGTTCCGACCACTATCACAGGGTGGTCAGGTGTTTCTCTATCTTGTGTGAATATTGGATACTTGTCTAAAAACAGAATGCCAGCACCCATGTTCTACCTCCCTTGCAACATGAGAACGCATCTGTTTATCTTAATACCCAATGAACTCCTTCCTTGCAGGGATTCTCTGTCCTCTTGAGGTAGAAATAGAAATTACAGTCTTTAAAGATCAGTCTCTTTAAAGATCATTAAGTAACTTGAACTAGATAGCTTCACTGTGCCAGTGAAGCATAGTGCCCCAAACAGGCACTTCAAGAGCAACCTCAAGGCTATTTATACCAACTTTGTTTTGCTTTTCAGACCACCGCCTTTTAAGATCCTGCATAGAAAATGCAAGCTCCAACACCCATGGTCATTGTGACCCAACCTGGGCTGAGTCCTTCAGCCCAAGTCTCCAACTGGCAGACTGACTTGTGTGACTGCTTCAGCGACTGTGGAGTTTGTAAGTGCATGGGAAATGCCCTCCTATGTCTAAGGCTGGGTTCTCCAGAGAAGCAATATCAGTGGCATTTATATATGCATATCTAGAGAGAGGTTTATATAAAGAAATGACTCAAACAGTTGTAGAGGTTCAACTCCAAGGATCACATGTTAGATTGGAGACAAGAATACTGTGAATCCTAGGATAGTGTCTAGATAGAAGATGGCCAGGTTTCAGTGAACCATTAAATAGATAAATGAAGGTCAAAAGAAACAAACACACAAAACTCACTGTCTTCATGTCAATTCTGACTCACAGAAACCTTATAGGACAGAGTTAGAATTGCCCCTATGGGTTTACAAGGTTGTAAATCTTTATGGGAGCAGACATCCTCATCTTGCTCCTATGGAGTGGCTAATAGATTTGAACTGCTGACCTTGCAGTTAGCAACACAACTTGTAACTCACTGTACCACCAAGAATCCTTAATGGATGAAGGCAGTGCTATAAAAAAAAGTGACATTACCAGCTGCTCCACAGGATAAAGACAAGACTTTCTATTACCAAAAAGAATGGCATACTTCCCAAGATTGGGTCATTCCTGAAATGATTTGTAGGGGAGAGTGGGCCAGCTGATGTAAAGCTGAATTAAAACAGTAAAGACAGACTTCCATGGTAAAGACAGACTCAGCAATAGATTCTATCTACAGCCTCAGCAGTAGATCCCATGATTTGGACTGACATTGCGAAGTAAACTAACTTCCAACTGTGACAAGGGCAGAGTGGAATAACTTGCATCTCTGGTTTCATGCTTCCAGGTCTTTGTGGCACATTCTGCTTCATGTGCCTTTCATGTCAAGTTGCATCTGACATGAATGAATGCTGCCTGTGTGGAACAAGTGTCGCAATGAGGACCCTCTACAGGACCCGATACGGCATTCCTGTGAGTCACTTCCAATATTTTAACATTCAAATACCCAACCACACTCAAAATACTCGTACGTTATAAGCATGAAGGTCACTTGGTGGTGTCCTTCACTTGATGAGGTCATTTGACTGCTATTTCCTTGTAGTCAATTGTTCTAGCAACAGATCCTCTGCTTAGGTTACCTCCATCTAGGGGTTCTCTTGGAAATACTAGACATAAACAACTCTCCTGTTTGCAATGTGTCTCATTCAATGAGGAGGATGGTTCCGCATCTATCATGACTTGCATGGATTATACAATATCTGTCTTAATCTTCACACCATCCTTGTGATATGAGTGGTCCATCATATGTGACAGATGAAGACATTAAGGTTTTAAGAGGTAAAGTGTCTTATTCAAAGGTTACATGAGGAGTACACTAGTTAGATTTCACTTTAGCTTTCCACGCATTCCACTTCCATTACATTATAAGCGTCACCTTACATAGTAGGGGAACAAATTTATATGGTGAATGTTTTAAGAACAATTTGTTTATTTATTCGATTGAATTTTTTTTAACATTTTATTAGGGGCTCATACAACTGCTATCACAATCCATACACATCAATTGTGTAAAGCGCATTTGTACATCATTCTCAAAGCATTTTCTCTCCACTTAAACCCCCGACATTAGGTCCTCATTTTGCCTTTCTCTCCCCGCTTCGCCCTCCCTCATGAGCCCTTGATAGTTTATAAATTGTTATTTTGTCATATCTTGCCCTGTCCGACGTCTCCCTTCACCCACTTTTCTGTTGTCCGTTCCCCAGAGAGGAGGTCACATATAGTTCCTTGTAATCGGTTCCCTCTTTCCAACCCACTCTCCCTCTACCCTCCCTGTTTTGCCACTCACACCTCTGGTCCTGAAGGGATCATCTGCCCTGGATTCCCTGTATTTTCAGTTCCTGTCTGTACCAGTGTACATCCTCTGGTCTAGCCAGACTTGCAAGGTAGAATTCGAGTCATGGTAGTGGGAGCGGGGAGGAAACATTTAGGAACTAGAGGAAAGTTGTATTTTTCATCATTGCTACATCGCACCCTGACTGGCTCATCTCCTCCCCGAGACCCCTCTGCAAGGAGATCGCCAGTGGCCTACTAATGGGTCTCCACTCCGCACTCCCCCCATCATTGACTATGGTAAGATTTTTTGTTCTGATAATGCCTTATACCTGATCCCTTCAACACCTCGTGGTTGCATAGGCTGGTGTGCTTCTTCCATGTGGGCTTTGTTGCTTCTTCGATTGAATTTATTTTAATTTTTCACTTAATTTGTTTTTAATTGTGAAGGATTAATACTTGCTATACAAAGGTGCTTCCAAAGCATTCCTGGAAAGTTCCCATTATCTTTTCATTCAATTTTTCCAAAAACTTTTGAAACACCTTCATACATAATATTGATGACAATTTTTTATGACAAATTTAAACATCCAGAAGTATATAAAGTAAAAAAAAATAAAAGTTTAACCTGTTTGTAACCAATTCTACTTTCAAATGATAAACATTGGTATACATCTTTTCCTTTTCTTTCTATGACTAATTGGCATATGAATGTAGATTATCTAAAGAAATAGCTATGGATCGAATACATACTAGAGGGACTCTACAAAAATCCCAAGGAACATTACTAAGAGGGAAATTTAACATTGCTAGATCAAAGGAGGAGCATCATAAAGATAAGTAGGCACAGATTCACAAGGTTTTGAGGGGCTGAGGGCTTGTGGCTTACCACAGCCAAGGCCGGCTAGGGTTTGACTTTAGCCCCACCACTGTCTCAGCCAAAGCCAGGACCATTTGGAGCCAGTGCAGGGGCTTAATCTCAACACATCCATGGCTTGCTGCCACCTTGGGGCAGGGAATACACCCTTGCAGCTCCACGGGCAAGGATTGGGGCTCAGCTATATTGTTACTTTTGTTTCCCTCTCTTCTCTCTAACCCCCCACAGTCTCAGCTGGCTTAGTTGTTGTTTTTTTTCTCCTCTTTGTATCTTTCCTGTTCTCTAACACTCCACTGCTGAGCTCCAGACCATTCCCCTTAGCCTAGGGCATCAATGACTGCACCACACCCAGTTAGGTGGGCTCTACCCTGTGCAGCGTAGCCCAAGGCTGAGTAAAGCCTGACTGACCTCCAGCAGGAGATACTTTGGCCAACTGCCCAACTTCTTACTGCCTCCCATGTGACTAAGGGAACTTCCACCCACCTACCTTAGTGCCTCACGCAGCCTAAGGCAGCTCAGCCAACACTTGCCAACATTCAAAACTGCTGCAGGAACCTCTGCCCAACCTCTGTAGTTATCTACCTGGCCAAGGCAATTCCGCCCACCATTTGTGGTGTTCTACATCAAATCAGGCAATCCACCAGCCTTCTGGGGCACTCCCCTGATAGGGAAGCCACAGGAGGATAAAGTGGTAGGCTAATTCCATAGTTAAATTTGCTGTAGGCAGTTCAAAGAAGCATTCTCACAAGTCTCCCAGAGAGAGCCAGTGTTCTTCAACTCCCTGGAAAATGGCACCTGACTCCTCTAAAACAACACAATGCAAACAGCCATCAGCCCCAACGACCTCAACAACAAAAAACAGGAGAAACAAAAGGCAATGGCAGAAGATGTCCTGAACATAACAACATGCATAGAAGAAGCAGACATTGAGCTGCCACAGAAGGAAATTTTCAGAATGCTGCTTGGAGTCATACAGGATATGAGGGAAACAATACAGAAAAAGGATGAAATGATAAATGAGCTAAAGTCCATACACAAAAAGGAAATACAAGAGCTCAGGGAAGAAATTAAAAAACCAGTAGCAGACACACAGACCTCGAGAATCAACTGGAGGAAGCAGAGAACTACACCAGTGACTTGGAGGACAGCCAAGCAGACTTCAACAAACGTGAACAAAAATATAATAAGATCATCAGAGAAGCTGAAGAAAACCTAAGAGCTATGTCTGATGCTATGAATAGGAACAACATTAGAACTATTGGATTACTGGAGGAAGACACAGCAAAGAGTCATCTGCAACAATAGTAAGAGAATTCTTGGAGGAAAACTTCCCCAGCTTAAAGAGTGAAAACCAGGCAACCATTCAGGAGGCTGAAAGAACAACAACTAGACTGAATCCCATGAAGAAGTCACCAAGGCACAGAATAGTTAAACTATCCAACTTTGAGGAAAAGGAGAAAATCATGAGAGCAGCTAGGGAAAAACATGCAATCACATATAAAGGTTCTCAAATAATAACATGCCCAGACCTATGAGCAGAAACTATGAAGAAGAGGAGAGAGTGGAGTAACATATTCTAAAAATTGAAGGAAAACAATGCAAACCCAAGAATACTCTACCCAGCCAAATTATCAATCAAGATAGATGGAGAAGTAAGAGTCTTCCCAGACAAGGAAAAACTCAAAAAATACGTTACAAGAAACCCAGCCCTACAAAAGATCCTTGCAAACCCAGTATGGGCAGAAGAACAACACCCACCAAGCATAAATAAAAAAGCACCACATAGAACAGCCTCTCACCCAGAGGGCAACAAAGAGAAAGCAGACCCCAAGATAACACTGGTTTAAGGATGAAAAGAAGTCAAGAATGATGCACACACACATATGCACAACACACTAATAAGAAAGGAAGGGAGGAAAATACCCAACACAAAAAGTATAAGATAACATCACAGAGCCCACAGATGGACATAATAACCTGAACATCAATGGTCTGAACTCAGGCATTAAAAGACTGAGGCTACCAGACTGGCTTAGAAAACACAATCCATCAATCTGCTGCCTACGAGAGACAAAGCGCAATGCTACAGACAAAAATAGGCTGAGAATCAAAGGCTGGAGAAAGGCATACCAAGCAAACAGCAATTCAAAATAAGCAGGGGTTTCAATCCTAATCTCGGATAAAATTGACCTCAAAATTCAAACCATAAAAAGAGATAAGGTCCTGGGGTGAGGACCAGGTAGTAAGGCAGGGACCAGACCAAATTCAGAGATACATATGGTAGCCAACTAAGGAGGTGGGGAAAGGAAAAAAAAACAAAAGAAATGGGTAGCGGGGTAACAGGGCGTTAACCTACCTACCCAAGGGGAGGGGAAGGTTTATATCTCCACAGGGAAAGAGGGACCATACTTCAACCCAGTGCTCCAAGATGTGAATGCAACATGCCAGTGGGTAGTAGGGAACCAGTGGAGAGGTCTGAGGGGCCGGCCCAATCTCAACTACTACGTGGACACCTGTCCCTCACCACAGAAGAATTTATTTCAGAGGACAGCACTGAATCTGCAGCTCTGGTAGAGGGACATGGATGATCAGAGCACATGGGAGCAAATGAAATGGGAGGAAGAGATAGTGGAACAAAACCAGGCCCACCAAGCCTTGAGGACGAGATTCCCACTGAGAGCAGCCAACCCATAGAGAAGACCACATGGCCGGCCCCACTATGAGACATGATATCCCATAGCCCTACAGGGGACAACACTGGAGATACAGTGTGGGAATTCTGCCCAAAATGATCCCACAACACCAAGGAAAAACAATAAGGGGTGCAACAGAATAGCAAGGGACCAGAGCAACGAAGTCCCCAGGAAATACCAAAAATAGACTTTGGGGCCAGGGCTTGGTGCCCCAACAGACTGGACTGGAAAACACTCCTAAAGGCCAACAAACAGTCCTTGAATTAACTACAAGCTTT